CCCGGGCGTCAGTTGAGTAACTGGTTTTCACGGATGAGTCTGGCGACGTAGCTGCCCCGAGATTCACGCATGTGTCCCTAAACTATAAGTTCTAATTCTAATTTGGAGTCAGATATTTAACGAGGGTATAACTAAATTTGGTATCCTAAATTTATTATGGAGTCAGATTAATTGTAACCGTTGTGCTTTTGTGCCCCGTCCTTCGAACGGAGTAAATATATCCATTTTATTGTGATTCGCACCAGCCAGGACGTCGCGCGATATAATACTAGCCAAAAAGAACACGTTGAACCTTCGCCCTACAATTTCCGCCGTTGGTTATTGTTTTGTGGGTTTTACAATAACATAACCGGAGCTCTAGCTTGCTCTTGCGCACAATCCATAACGCGCCCATTCTCCGCGAGGAAACGCTTGTCATTCCGACGCAGTAAGTAAACCATTACCACGGGCAATTTCCGAAAAGGCCATTTAGCCTGGAGCTTTCGCCCCTCCGTCATATACTAGCGCGGAAACTGTTCGTTGCTCCACGCTAACAACACACCACAGCTATGCACACGAACCAGCAGGTCCTAATACACACCGAAGCAGTCCATAAGCTGTTGGTCCACTTTTAGCTGCTCCTCACTGTCCATGTTTCCCTCTAAACTCAGACCCACCGGATTTCTACGGTCTCCGGTCTACACTTGGGCATGTCGACCCGTTCTACAAATGTGTCTATATGGGGTGGATTCTAGCTTCCCCTGCATCCTAGCTAGGAGTAGAAAAACCGCGGTACTCACCAACTGTTGCCGTAGCAAACTGTAGCCGATAGCAAATTTGAGCTTGCACTGACAGATATTCGCACTGCGTCCTCCACTTTCGCCGCTGCGTTTGTTAGAACAAGATCATGTCATTAGATCTATATTCAAGTATAACGTTAGATTGCGGAATTTGCCCGCCGCTTCTTTATCAGATTGCAGACGTGTCTCAGGTTTCACTCTGGGGAGCCGGACACTGAAAACTGCGTTCTGCAGCCTCGTCCCGCCCAACTCCGCCCTCCACAGAGCTGGCCAGTCAGAAGAAAGTGGGTACACGGGGAGTGGGGGCCATAGCGGAAGAGCCACCCCAGCGAGGCGTTTCAGGCAGATACTACAATGTACTACAAATGCAGTTTTTTGAGGATGGCAGTATGACCGAAATAAATACCCTTTTTTTACGTTGCACGATCAGGAGTACTCTAGGGGAGTCAAAGACCAAAATATAAACTTGGAAAAATAGCAAAATAGGTCCCCTTTAAATGGGGCTTCACGATCAGCCTTTTCATGAAGCAATTAGCTGGAAAGATTCGATACATTCACGGGGCCTCATCACACCATCACTAGTCCAGGATCTCAGGATCCGACTTTTCTGTCATGGTTTTGCCCCCGCCGGCAGAGGACAACGAGACGGCGGGCACTGGGACCATGTACCCAAAAGCAGATGAAGGGACCCAAATGCACAGGCTGAGTAAAAATATAAAAAAATCTTTAATTTAATACAAGAAATGCACATCAGGGGAGTAGCAGCACAAACACACGCCAGGGACTTCATTCAGAATGCTGCTGCACTCTTCTGAGGCGCAGCCAACCCTTAAATAGCAGACCTTCACCTCCACCTCAACGAGCCACACCTGTTGCCCGTTAAGGTGGAGGTGAAGAATGCAGCAGGGGGAGGGACTGCAAGGACAAACCCTTGCATTTTGTGCAATAGGCCCCTGCTTTGTAGAACAGAGCTCTGCTGATTTAACTGCAGGGGACACTTGTGTGATATCGCAGCATTTCACAGACATCAAGAGAGATGCAACCACGTCTAGTAATAGATTTGCAGGTGTGGGGATGGGTCTTAGTCATCACCTTTATATTGCTGATTGCACTGTGACTTTTTCACAGTAATATTATGCGGGTGGGGGTTTGTGGGGTTTGGGTGGAGTCGCAGGTGTAGCTCAGTATCTCTCCATCACTGTTTGGGTTTCAGTTGTGATGGAGCTGAGGGAGCAGAGTCACTGGAACAGGAAGCAAAGATACAGGAAGCTGTGTCCATCACATCTGAGGCTTTACAGTCACTGGAGGGACTGTGGATTCCACACTCACAACTCCTGCATAAATCATCTGACTGTGTCTGTGCTGGAGCAGTGGTGCTTTTCTCCTTGTGTGCGAAAGACATTATTGTCACTTCTGCCTGCTGTAAGGCAGAATGAATTCTTCAATGACCATCCATACATACTGCATACTGAGGAGTAAACTGGACCAGTGTGGAGATCTTACCCCAGTGAGGCTACATGGCCTCTCTCTTTGATCAGCACTCACATCCTGTGGGCCTGGGAGCTGTGGCTCAAAATTCTAAATTGTCCATCTATGGCTTTCTGGTGAAAGGATCAAATGCCTGGTTTATAAGTAAGGAAACAAAGCCTAAGTCACATCCTGCCACCAGACTCCCAGATGACACCTCATGTAGAATTTGTATGGAGTGCTACAGCCAGACTCCCATACAACCCATGTGTAGCTTTATTTGTTGCCAGGTATGATAATATTCTATGTTGACTCCGTAATTTGTTCTAAAGCTTTCCCGTTTTGTAGTGTATTTCAGCAATTTACATGTATTTGTTTTGCAGTGTTATTGGCTGTTAAGAACCTACCTGGCAAATAAATTGTTAAACTTGGTCTATGTGGTTTCTCTGAAAATTGTGCGATTCTCTCTGTTAAAGTATAAGGTGGGAATATCCCCTCAAGCTGGTCTAGGGAGGATGCATGTTTAAGCTTATTGTATCACGGAGTATTGCTCCTGTGGATCTCTGTCATTAAATCTATCCCCTCCACTTTCGTTTTTCTGTGCTGAGAATGGAGATAGCTACTGTTGGCCTTCTTGGGTCCCTGAGCCGCTATCGGATATACCTAATGAAGTGGCACCCTACACAACCAGTCAGCTTGTGAGATGTGCACATTTTGGATGATGTAACCTGCGGTGGTACCAACATACAATGTTCTGAGAGTAGCTACAAAATCATGGGAATCCTCTTACAATCAAGTGTAAATTATAAATGATGATGCATCTATTCAAACTTTACTCAAATTCTTAAAGTAGAGTCAGATAAAACTAAAAACTCGAAACGTACTGAACTAAATTTAACAGTGCACAGGTGAACTGACACGCACTACCTTCGCCCTACTCAGCTAAATTTCGTCACTGGGCTACTGAGGGGCTTATAAATGACACTCATATTACTGTTTTGCCCAAAACTAGAGTCCCTAAACAATCAGAGCTTGCTGGCAGTGCATGGTTCTCTATCGCTGATTGGCCACGAGGATATATCGCAATTAGCGGAAAAAACTGGCTCGGCGGTTAATGCGTGATCAGCATTGAGTACCATTGCACTTTGGGATGAAAGCTGATGTTCAAGCATGCTAAACACTGGGATATGTAGTGTGTTGCTAAGGGTTGAAGTTGGCATGCCCGCCAATGATGATCTTCTTGCAGTCGTGCTTCAAAAATTTTGAAAGTGACATGTATTGCGTTTAGCGATGAAACTCTTCAAATAGCGGAAAAGGTGATTAGGGAAACAAGAGACAGATGGAATGGAAGGGTGAGAGAGTGCAGAAGAGGGCATAGCAACAAACAGGGGAATGAGGAACAAGAATGGGGAGGGCGAGCGGGGAACAGGAAAGGTAAACACAAACAGGAAGTGAATAGAAACAGAAGAAGAGTTAAATAACAGAGTGAAACCAAGACTAATCCATAAAAATCCTAACAATCTACAATACTGACGACAAATAAACTGTCGATCAACAAAAAAAAAGTCACACACTCAAATATATAGTTGGAACCCCTGTAGTTTTGATTACAGTGCAAATTCGTCTTGTCATTATTTTGACAACCGTGTGCAATATCAGAACATTAATTTTCAATTAGAGTTGCCTTAAATTTTGGCTCGAAATCTTGTCTTCATAAAGAGATGGTTGAACCACGCGGTAGACTTCCTGACCGTGTCCCAATAACTTTGGATGTGGTTAAGGTAAGGACTTTGTGGTGCCCAATTTTTGCGTGAAAATGATTCCCCATGCTTGTTGTCCTCCTCCACTGTTATACCCAGCCACATCGAAGTTGGCGAGGGATATTGAAACAGCCTCCGTCCATCCATCTGTTCATCCGTGCCTGCGTTTGAGCGTCCATTCCGATCAGTAGTACACTTTGTTTCCGGGCAGAACTTTGAAAGTATCAAAGTTACAGTCTTGAAACTTGGCATGCACGTTCTCGAGGGGATGCAGTTGCGCCTTTTCATATTACGGAGTTGGACAATTTTTTTTTTCCCCAGTAACCATGGAAACAAATTTGGACTGAGTGTCTTGTAATGTGGAAGGGGTAGGCTATACCTCCGCAGCAGAACTCAGAAAGTATCAAGACTATTGTCTTGAAACTTGGTATGCATGTTCTCCAGGGGATGTATGTGTGCCTTTTAATACTAGGGGAAAAAAAAAAAAAAAAAACTTTTTTTTTTTTTCAATTAGCATGGAAACAAATTGGGACTCTCACTTAACTGGTAAGAGGTAGGCTTTGTTTCTGGAGCAGAACTTGGAAAGTGTCCAAGATATTGTCTTGAAGCTTGGTATGCATGTTCTCTAGGGGATGTCATTGTGCCTTTTGATGCAAGGGAATTTGACTTTTTTTTTTCTGGTTACTGTGGAAACAAATTACCCATTAAGTTGTGGGGGATATAGACGACTTTGTCTTCTTGTTTTCTTTGCTTCATGCAGGCTAATAACTTGCCCCTTCTGAAAAACAATAACATCTTTTACGCCAATTAGAGATATGTCTTCCAACATGATTTTTCAAGAAATGAGAAGCTAAGCACTACAGTTTGGGCCAAAATATAATTGCCAGCTGAAACATGTTAATTGCTGCAATAATGATAAAATCACAGTATTTGATTATTTATACCGAAATAACTTTTTTTTTTTTTTCTTCCTGATGAGCAATGTATCAAAGGGGATATGGTGGCACAGTGGTTAAGTGCGCTTGACTTGAGATCAAGAGATCCTGAGTTCAAGTCCTTGCCATAGCTTTCATGGTGTGTTGTTGAGTAGAAAACACGAGAGTGGACAACTTCATCGGCTGTACCAACCGCAAAACGTAAGCAGCGCCCGTCATCTAGTGTAAGGAATCGGTGAGGGAATTGCAGAAGTTAAACACTGTACATGTGTATATGCAACAAGATAAAATGAAAAACACTGCACTGGTGACTCACACCAGCCATATCATGACTATTATTTAGTAAATAATTATTTTGTTTGCAAGTGGTTGTTGTCAGAAAATTCTTAATCGTCAGTTAAAATAAATAAAAAAAATTAGTTTAAATTAACTGTAAATGTATATAAAAGAGTTGTATATTTATGCCTAAGGAATGCTGTTTTCATATTTTGAACACATGTATTTGTACCTTGAATTCCTACAGTGCTCTTTATTTTAGATTATGGATATTTTTATTTGATATTTAAATGGTCATCTTGGTTCATAATAATTACAAGTATTAATTTCTTTCACAGTAAAAATATTATGATAAAAATCATCAACATAATCTCTGTATAGCACCTCTAAACTACCTTCGTCTAAGGTTTCGCACAGTTCCGTGCAAGACGCTATCCTTCGATAAGATGGCAGACGCGAATTTCACCAAAACTGGTCTCATGTCCACAATAGTTTTCTTTAGCTCTGTGGCAAAAACACTTCACTTCCACAGTGCTTCACTCCACCCAGATGTACAACGGGGTACCAGAAAAATGGTCAGGGAAACCTGACCAAAACCTGAAATGGACTAGCATCCCATCCAAGGGCAGTAGCAATACTCCTGGTTGCTTCCTGCTACAGAAACTGCGGTTACATACCAGTCCATGCCCCACTGGTTTGGGACAGACTTTACCAGTGCATAAAAACTATTTGTTTCCTCATTATTTATTTATTTATTTTTTCCCCAAATGAATTCCGAGCACAAGAACTGACTGACTGGAATCACTTGTCAAATATTTGTACATTTGTCCTCTGCCTGATATGATTCAAATATTTGTTCATTTATCCTCTGCCTGATATGATTCAGAGAATCAGGGTTATCAAGTCACGTACACGAGACATGGCATGGAAATTGGCCCGCCTGATGCAGCTATTTGAAGAATGCGTCAATGTGATAGACATGTAAAGACAGAACTATCGGAGGACAAAGAGATATTTATTCATTTGTCATCATTATGGTCGATACGGTTGATTATTTCTATTGATAATAGCAGAATCTATTTATGACGGTACGCTTCTGAAGAAAGGAGCCATGTTACCTGCAGAAAGATCCAGCCACTATGCAGTTTTAGCCTCCTAGCAGAGGTAACCAGAATTTAATCTAAAATTTCCTGGTATTCCACAGATTCTATGATACCAAGTTCCATTAGAAAGCCCAGGGCCTTTGGAAATAAAACAACCCCACAGCATCATGAATCCACCACCACTATACTTCACATTAAGGATTAGGTTATTTTTTGTATGACCCACCCACCCTCTTTTTATGCTAAACCCATTTAGCAATCTCTCGGCACATAAGTTAGAGATTTGATGACGGCAGAGGCTTACCTCTGGCAAGCCTTTCAATTAGCTTGCTGGCATGGAGATGGTGTCCAATTGTAGTTTTGGAGACTAACTTACTAACTTCAACTAACAACTGACTGCTGCAATCCCTAAAATGTAATTCTTGGAGAAAAAATTGCCTCCTAAACAAGCTTCCTCATTGTGCACGGGGGATTGATACACCTGCAACCTCTTCCACATAAGTTCATCACAGCTCAATTTTTTTTTTTTCACATCTTAGTTTTTGCCCATGTAATAAAGATGGGGTTTTTTTGGGTGTGAGGCTTTTTTTAAATAGCCATTGCCTGATTTATGAAGGTCAACAACCTTTTGTCTCATTTGTGTATTTTCATATTTTCTCTATGATGGATGACGAAGGAAGTCTGGCCTACTTGCCACCTCATATTTACCCCCCAGAGAAACAGGAAGTAATTCATGTCCACTTAAGTCTCTGGTGTGCTTAAAAGAGTGAAGTATGAATATAGGTAAAAACATTTTTTTTTTTTTTAAATTTCCTCAATCTTAAACCATTCCATGTGGTTTAAAGTTCATTCCAAGAAGATTCTCTCAATGTTACAACAGATTTATTTATTTTGGTAACAAGCAATTCCCAGATTTTCTCAACTGGATTAAAGTCTGGACTTTGAGCAGGCTAAGTCAAAGGTTTTACGTCATAAGATGATTCTTTCCGATTGAGATAATTCTTGCACATCTGAGAAGTGTGTTTAAGGTCATTATCTTGTTAAAAATAAAATCCCTGACCAGTCTCTGTCCACATGCCAATGCGTGCCTCGCAAGGATACTGTGAACCTTCTTTTGATCCATGATTCCATCAATTTTTTGGAGATCAATGAACAGACTGAACCCATAATTTTACCACCTCAATGCTTTACCGGAGGGGTTAAACATTCATTTTTGAAACGTTCTCCGACTTTGTGGAACACATAAGTTCTGCATTTGGGTGAGAAATTTTGAATTTTGATTCATCGGTCCAAAGGACTTGTTCCCAGTCTGTTGGTGTCCAATGCTTGAATTTCTTAGCAAACTCGAGTCCTTTTTCGATGTTGCCAGCTCTTGGCAGCAACACGACCAATCAGACCATTTTCGCACAAACGTCTGGAAATAGTAGATTGTGATACTTTCATCTCTTCACTTCTAGTGCTATTAATATCAATACGGAGTTGTAATGTTGTCAACTGCCAGTTTTATTATTTTTTTTACGTCATACACAGATAGACATCAGAGGCACTTAACTTCCGTTTTACACCTCTATAGCCAATAGTTTTCAGTGAACTGGTCTCTTTGAAATGCTTGATGGTGTTTCTTACAGTGCCATGACAGCATTTAATGTCTTCAGAAATTTTTTCCAAGTGACCACTCAGCATCATGTAAGGCCTAAATGCAGCTAAGAACAATCTCAGAGAGCTCCTTCTATCATGCCATCATGCTTAATACTGTGACAATGCTCAGAAATCATGTCAGCTTACTGTATATACTGGAACAACTGACCATCAGAGGTAATTTTGTTGAATGATGTGGCCTCAAACCAGTTTAAACAATTTTATTTTTAGCATCAATAATCATGGAATGAGCCTTCATACATGCACTCATGCTATGCAAGAGTCAAAAACATAAAATTTGTGACACCTTTCAATTGTTATTAAAAAAATTTTTCAGTGTTTTTGTTCATTACCCATATTTTCACCTCATTATAGCCGCAGGAATGATTTTTTTTTTTTTCAGTGCCTACAATAGTATTTTTCAATACATTTTTAACAGAAATTTTTTAGAGAAGTAAGACTTGCCAGACACCAAGCACCACTGGTTGGGCCTCTTTCTCCTAGAGTAAAAGCTGAAATTAGAACGTGTCAACATCCTGGACAGGCTTCATGCTGCACTCTTGGTTATGTTCCTGACTGATTGTCATCTTCAGTGAGATTAGCCACTTCCAAAACAACTAACTTCAACTCTTCGATACCGCAGTGTAGTTCTGTTCTGTAACAGTGTCAGCTTGTGTGAGACAAACTTTAGAAAAGCTTTTTTTTTTTGAAGTTCATTGCCAAAATTTTATCTCTCTTTATTTTAATGTCTTTGAAAATTGTAATCCATGTAAACCAAAACTCAAACAATGAAGTGCTGAAATATTTAATTCCATTAAAAACTGTTAAAAGCGTAGTTGCTTCATATTATGCATAACCTGACACTATACCTTGTTGACATGGCCTGTAATGACAACAAAGCTGAATCTTATCTTATCTAATTTAGAATCAAGCAAACAGAAACATGAATCACTGTGTTTGAAGACGGCGCTCTGCTCTGTATTAATAATCCAGCTCAGAGTCTTCCAAAATAGTGCAGTCCTAGATTTTCAGACAAACACCAAGTTTATATTGAACACCAGCATACAAGAACAGACTTCAGATGATGCAACAGAGCGTAAGTTTGTTTTTTAATTACCTCTAAATTGAGAAATTGAAATTCATAAATTAATTTATACATTAATTTGTTGTCATATGAACCTAAAACATTGGACATTCTACATTTCCATGTCAGAAGTGATGCACTAGATTTACTTTATTAATACATAAGGTAGGCAATTCAGATGTACGTTGTAATTCCAAATTACTCAGAACAAAGCAGTGGTTTTCAGATTTTAGATATTATTGTTAATTTTGAGAGTTTAATATTTATTGAATATTAAACAGCAGAAAAATCTGAACTTGTACATTTTGGCCCATACTCTTACATTGTTTTTATTTTTAGGTTTGTACTTGTACACTGTAAACCCTGATAGTGTGGTGAACTCATATGTTTTTTGGAAACCGATTACCTCAGAAAAATTGTGTAGGCCAACTTAATTGCATTGTGTGGAAGGAACTTAAAGAAAATAATTTAAAGTGATTTTTTTTACATGTTTTAAGTGCTGTGAACACAAGATCATTAAATTGGCATACTCAATTTTTTTGAGGTAATTGGTTTCCACAAAACATTTGAGTTCACCACACTATCAGGGTTTACAGTGTAACCTTAATTCTATCAGTGTAAAATCAGGGTTTTTTTTCCCACAAGCTTCAATTCACATGGCTCTATTCTATATTTAGATTTGATTTTGTAAAAATCTCCTTTGTATGTTTGTAAACTTGTAAGTTTAGAGGTGCTTGTTCGTACATTATGCTTCCTGAGTGTAAAGTCTTCTAATCATGAAAATTCAAGTCGCATTTGCAAGCCCTATTTCACGTTTTTAGGGCAAATTTTAAGCAAAGATGTGCAAAAATAAATATCAGCAAAAAGAAATGGTTGCATGACAAGGCTGACATCAGTTACGAGCTGCAACCCTGTGGATGAACCCGTTGTTGCAGTATTACACAAGACCCATGAAGCTCCTACAACTAATTTTGACCAGTCAGGGGCACTTGGTGTCTGCACTCTTTTGTTCTTACTTGCAGGCCATCAGTG